ACGTTACGTAGTCGTACGGTTTTTTGTTTTTTTTTTTGGGTACGGGGGTAGGTAATTGTCGTTTATTTTTATTTACTTTTTTTTTTAAATTGGAGGTACTGGGGATTGTTAACATGCACTCTTACCAGTAAGCTGTTACCACCCCTCCCCCTACGTTCAGTGTTTCACCAGCGTGCCTTGCTTTCCTACTTGAACTGCAACACTGGGACACTGTGATTTAGGATTTGATGAGCTGTGGAATTAGTACAAGGGAAGGTCCACCTCCCTTCTCCTACTCATTATTATTATTTATAATAAGAAAATACTAGTGAAAACATACTGAGTGCTTACTATGTGCCAGGCATTATTCTGAGCGCTTCACAATGTATATTTCATTTCATCTTTACAATTATCCCACTAGCCTACATTTACAGATGAGGAAATTAAGGCCCAGGGGATTTGCCGAAAGGGCCATAAGAGTGTGACTTAAAAGCCCTGTTCCTAGGCTCTGTGACAGATTACCTTAATTTGAAAACAATGCCCTAAATCATCTGGTTTAATTATTTTGCAAATCACACACAGGAGCATCTCTGAACTTGTCTCTAGGCTCTGAAGCTTCATGCTGCAGAGCAGGCAAGTAAATATGTCCCTGGCCCAAAGCACAAGGGTAGCATGTGTTGGAGAACAGAAGAGTTAATGGAAATTCAGTGCTTATTTATTTATTTATTTATTTGTGGGAGGAGGTAATTAAGTTCGTGTATTTTTGGAGAAGGTACTGGGGATTGAACCCAGGACCTTGTGTATGCTAAGCACGCACTCTACCACTTGAGCTATGCCCTCCCCCCACAGTGGTTATTTTGTGATGCGGACTGCGGGGAAGGGACAGGGCAGTATAGCATCTTTTACCTGTATATTGACAGACTACCGTCTAAGTCGCGGGCACTATAGTAAGATAGGACACCTAGGGAAAGCGCCAGGTAGTCTTCTTTACACGGCTCCTACCGCCATCAAGAGCATATTTCAGTGCTAGAAATTTTATTAAAAGTTTGTATAAAAAAAGAAGTTTGTATAGATAAGCCTAGAATTAAAAAAAGAGCAATTTAAAATTTATTTATTTATTTATTTATTTATTATTTGGGGGGGTAATTAGGTTTATTTATTTATGTTTAGAGGGAGTACTGGGGCTTGAACCCAGGACCTCCTGCAAGCTAAGCATGCACTCTACCACTGAGTTATGCCCTCCCCTCTAAAACGCCTAGAATCTGTATGTTATAAAATGAGGAGGACTTAAAACTAGAAGTTAATTGATTGAACTGGTATGTAAAATATGTATTAATTGAATGGATGTATTACAATATAATAACTTACTTCCAAATAATACTTTAAAAAATCATCAGGCTAGGATGGAGTTCAAGGGAACAACTTCTGGTTTGATTGCAAGAAATGTCTCTATCTTACCTTTTTTTAAAAGAATTTATGTTACATTTTCTGGTAAACAAATTCTGCCCAGTCTGATATTTATTGCTCAAAGTTAGGAGAAGCCATACTTACTTGATGATCTGAGAGTTAAATCTGATAACTTACAATCTGATTCTAAAGTAAAAATAAAACCAATGAAATCATAAGAAGAGAAAATGAAATGAGAAGCCAAACTTTCAAAACTCCCAATTTTGATTCTAAACTTGAATTTTGGAAACACATCAAGAAACTTGGAAGAAAAGCTAAAATAATATTTAAATTATGAAAGTTAGTGGTGAACAAATTCTTATGCCTTTTTCATATCTGCAGTAGTCTGTCTTTATGATAGGACTTGGAGCTGTCTAGAGCCATTGGATATTCGTGTTTTACTTTTATTTGACCATGTCATAAAGAGTTATTTTAAATAAAGGAGAGTCAAGTAAATTGAAAAGTTCTGTTTTCTGGCCCTTTAATAGGAGATGAAGTCAATACATGGTTCTGAAGCTTTCCCCCTACTTGCAGACGTCTTCTTCTGGAACAGTGGCTCATCAAGGCACTGATTCTCAGCCAAGGAGATAAAACTCTGGGTGATCATGGAAACAAATCTCAATGTTGGGGAGAAGATTAACAGGGAATGGGAGTTTGAAATGTCTCAGGTAATTCTGACAAACCCTCCTCTCGTGAGGATTTCCACGTAGCCTGAAATCCAAGACTAGTTGGTGTTTGGAATTTCACACAAAGATCAAGATTTCACTTAAGGGGTTGGAATAACTTAAATTGGTCTAAATGGGTGAAGTATTGTTTATTCAGAAGAGATAAACCACAGCTAACATTTGCTGGATGTGTACCACGTGCCAGGCACTGTGCTGAGCACTCTCTCCTTCAATTCTCACTACAATTGTCAGATGGCTGAGGAAACTGAACATTAGTTAATTGCTCAAGGTTACTTAGCTAGTAAGTTGCGGAAACCACAAGTATGATATTCAATCCTGGATTTCAAACCACCATCCTGCACCGTTTCTGAGACACTTGGATCTGAAATGTGGCTTTTTGTTGAAAATATTTTTCCTTCTAGTCAGTCTGCAAAGAGATTCTACTGGAATCTGGAGTTACAGCTGGCAATTAGAAGGTTGGAGGAAGTGGAATGACGTGTAAATTTACCTCAAGAGAATGAAAATATGTTGTCCTAACTTTTCCTGCTATTGTAAATGGGCAATCCAGCCTGTAACTTGCTTATGATTTTGTCTTAAGAGTTAGGAGTGTTTAAATTATGCTCTCTTGTTTGAGACTTTCTCTGGAGAGAAAATTACGTTAAACTTCAGACTACACCTCTTTTTCAATTGGTTTCTTAAGCAGAAACCTAAGAAACACCTGATATTATATACAAAACTTTATGTGTATTTATATTTTCTCTAGAGGGAGAGCTCACAGCTTTCACCATTTTTTCAAAATTGTCCATAGCCGATCCCCCTCAAAAAGGATTAGATCCCTTATTTTAACCACTGTTGGATAGATTGAGAGCTGTTTGCTAGAGAACAAAGGTAAAAGGCTGAAAATTCCTTATTGATAAGAAATCAATTTGTTTTAAAGTATCGAGACCTAAGAATCTTTGCAATATTGGAGAAACTTCATCAAACTGTCTGAACCAGGGATTGAGGAAGGAGGAGGGGGCAGGTCTCCCTATCACTTGGGAGGCTTTAAAAAAAATCCTCCTTTCAGACTCTGACACCACCAGGTAGCTAAGAACCATCTCCATCCCCCTCACACCCCTCCACCTCCCCATCCCCCCTACCCCACCTTGAGAATCTAGAACCTTTGTTTACTAATGAAAGCTTATGTTAACCTCAAGGGTATTGGGAAAAAAACCAAAGAAACAAAGACTGGCTTAAACTCTTACCTTTAGGGTTATAACATGTGCCCAGTACTATGCTGAAATTATTTTAGGAAGGCAGAATGTCAAAATTTAGGATAAAGAAATTTAGGAAGTGAGTTGTCTAAAATAAACAGCTTCTAATATACTTTCTTCTGATACAGTTGTGAAAATGGAAGAAAAATATATCTGGCACTCTACCCATCTTCATTTCTCATCGATAAATTCTTCCTAAGTAATTAACTATTTCTCTAGTTTGGAGAATTTATTTGCTCCCAGTTTTCCCATCTAGCTGTTTCCTCCCTTTAAAGTATCCCTGATTTCAGAAGACGGAAACACCGGAATAGTGAATAATTTTGTGATTACTGATATGACACACCCTCCGCCTACTAACATTTGATTTAATTCTGCTTTGTTATTTGACCACCTCCTATGGATAACTGAGTCAAATTTTTGGTTGCTAAATCTTATTTGTAATATAAAATTGAGAGAGTCCCAAACGCAGGATATAAGCACACATTTTAATTTTATTGTAAATCAGGATGCAAGGATATTTTGAAAAGTTAAAGTGCTGTAATGTGCAGTTGACTGAAAACACTGCATTCTGAGATCCCAAAATGTGGAAAATTCAAACCTACGTAGGCAAAATTTAAAAGAAACAATTTTGAAAATCTTACATCTATTTAAACCAACTTGTAGAATTCATCATTTATATGTAATTTAAATTGTCAGTTTATGCATGACATTTATAAAAAATATATATAATATTAGAGGTAATTTATTATGTTTAAAACCCTTAACTATTAAGTTAATATGAACTAAAAAGCAAAGGACAAATCTGTAATACTATACACCTGATAACTGAAAAATGTGATTCTATATTTCTTCTAAAGCACTTGTTTACCAAAGGATTATTAGTAATATTGTTGCTATTATTATTTTAAGGACTATCTGCATCAGAATTACAGGTATGCATTGTAAAAATACACATACCAAGCCTGGGAATTTAAATTTACAATAAGCACACCCTATTCCCATTGTGATGTACACTAGTTTCAGAACAGCTGACACCCAGGACAGCATTAATTTGGGAATGTTGTTGAATGGGAATCTCCCAAACTTCTCGAATAAAATACACAGACCACCAGTCTTCCCTAGACCTTCTGACTCAAGAAGGCTGAATCGAGACCTAGGAATAGGTGTTCTTTAACAAGCAGGCCACTGTTTTATTTTCAAAGTCAGGGGGAAACAACTTAGATGATTATATTTAGGCAAATACTGCAGCGTAATACTTAAGGCCCTGGAGTTGCAAAAGAAAAGTAAACTACCAATAGGAAAAAAACTGGCTATTTTTATACTGATATGGCAATGTTTGGGAAACACAACCCTGAGGTTACCTTCTCAAGCTCCACCTCATTCCCACTGAAAAAATTTCCCCTTACTTTTAGGATAAAGACAAAACTCCTGGGGGAGGGTATAGCTCAGTGGTAGAGTTTGTGATTAGCATGGGTCCTGGGTCAATCCCCTCCATTAAAGTAAATAAGTAGTGCTTACCTTGGGAGCACATGTTCTAAAATTGGAACGATACAGAGAAGATTAGCATGGCCCCTGTGCAAGGATGACACAGAAATTCATGAAGCATTCCATATCCTCACAGACATAGTAAACAAACTCATGGTTACCAGGGAAGAAGGGAGTGGGAAGGGATAAACTGGGAGTTCAAGATTTGCAAATGTTAATTACTATATATAAAATAGATTAAAAAACTAGTTTCTTCTGTATAGCACAAGGAATTAAAATATTTTGTACTAACATATAATGAAAAAGAATATGAAGACGAATATATATATGTATATGTATGACTGAAACATGCTGTGCACCAGAAATTGACACACTGTAACTACAATTAAAAAACAAAAAAATAAAGATTAAAAAGTTAAAAATTTTAAAAATAAATAGGTAAATAAATAAACCCAATTATCTCCCTCTCCCAAAACAAATAAACAAAAAACAATAATAATAATAATAATAAGACAAAACTCTTTCCCAGGGTCTACCTTGCCCAGAGGCATGGTTTCCTTCCTACTGCTTCTATGTATCCATCCAATACTCATCTTTCTGGCCTTAATTTGAAGGTAGCCCGTATCTAGTCCAAGACGAAATCTCTCTACCCTTGGTGCTCCTGAACACATTTCCTCATTTGTAAAATGGGAATAATAATAATACCTATGTCACAGATGGTTCAGGATTAAATGAGGTCAGTCAAGAAAGAAGAGCTCTCTGCTCAGAGGCTGGCACAGTGAATGACAGCTATTATTTAATCAAATCAAGCCCTGTTTCTCCTTCCTTGCATTCAATACAGTTCTGCAAACCCACTTGTCATCTGGTTTCTGCACTCACCATTTCAAAGAAACTGTTTTCCCTAGGCCCACCGATTGACAAGTACAAATGACAAATTTCAGTCCTTATCTGATTGACCTTTCTGCACATACTAGACATTGCTGCCCACTCCATCCTTTGAAATCCTCCTTTGGCTTCCCTAAAGACAGTGTATTCTGGTTTCCTCATACTTCTCTGGCCAATATTTTAAAGGACCTTCTGTGGTTCTTTCATTGATTACTTTATCAATTAAAAAATGTTTTATCAGTAATACATGCATATTTCTGTAGCAATGACAACTACTCAGCAAGGCCTTCTTTGACCATTAAATTAGCACCCTCACCCCATACCCTCTCACATCACTGTGTTTTGACTTCGTAGTATTTCTCTCACTCTTATTCACTTGTTTATTGCCTTCCTCACCCACTAAATTCTAACCTCTTTGAGGGAAAGGGGTATGTTTTAGTCACTGCTGTATTCAGAGCACCAAGAATAATGCCTGGCACTCAGTAGGCTTAAGCAATACTTCTTGACTAACTGACTGAACTATCCCCCACATTCAGTCAGTTGCTTATAGATCTTACCTCCTACATCTGAAATCTTTGCCCACTGTTCTTGCCTTACGACTGACTCATATATCTTCCTAGATGGCGGCCACAACCACCTCCAGTCCTGTTCTCCAATCCATATCCCAAATCACTGCTCAAGTGATCCAAGTCCTCCAATAGATCCTACTGCCATTCAGATTAAGTCCAGATTCTTAAGCAAAGCATAGAAAGCTCTCCATGATCTGGACCCTGGCTAATTCGCATTTAGCTCTTGCCAGCCCCTTCCATGTGCATCACGCTCTTACCATCCCTAACTATTCACAGGCATATTAGTAACGTGCTCTTTTCTCTGCCTGGAATGACGCCCACTCCCTACCCCTCATGCCTTCATCTCTGGGGAGATCTGTCTCCTTTATTTCCAGAGATGGGCTACATGTCCCCCTCCTCTGTACCTTTATAGGGCACTGTCTTTATCATTTCACTTATCATACTCTTGTGTGAACTAGTCCATCTCCAACACTGTATTCACAGCACCCAGCATGGTGCTTGGTCCAGAGTTGCCAAGAAATGGTTATTGAAAGGAAATCCACAAACTAGCTCTCATATTCAGGTCTTCACCCCAAAATGCTTTACCTTTTCTGCTTCTACACCCTGACAGCTGTGTTGCTGAGTACCTTTGGAGAAAAACCACACAATAAAGTAAATGGGCACCATTTTAGATGAACGGTCTTTAACCTCATTTGTGCATTTGACACCTAGCAATTCTTTTATGGGTCCCTGGTTAGCTCCAGCTCCCATTTCTCTCAGTGATCATTAAAAAAAAAACCAAGAAACACTACAACATTGACAGAAGGGTGTACAGTGGAAAGAACGTGCCCTCCCCACACTCTGTCTCACTCCTAGGGGTGTTAACAGTTTGAAGTGCATCTTGGCCAAATCTTCTCTGTGAGTGTGCAAATATGGATTTACACCCTCTTTGCCCCACTAAATAAAGGAAATCCACCACCACCTATTCTTCTGATTTATTTTTTCAAAAATACCTTTCCATATTCGCACCTAGAGATTTTCCTCATTCTTTTTTCGCAATTGCACATTTTTTTCACTGGCTGAATGTACCGTAATTCAACCTCTGTTACTGCCAGACATTTAACTGGTTTCCCGTTTTTCACACTCTCCCTCAATAGTTCAACACTTTTGTTCAAGCTCCCATCGCATTTTTGCTTTTCTCACTAGGATGATTTCACCTTTTTCACAGAGGAAACTGACGCTATGAAGTGTGAACTCCTCCAACTTCCTATCTCCCTCATCTATACACTGGTCTGTAACTCTCTCCTTTTATTTGTCTCAGGTGGAAAAGATCACTTCTCCTATGGGAGGAAATGCTATCTATGCTAACATTCCTTCCTGTTTTCACAGGGGTCTTTCTAACCATTATCTTCTCTTGCTTTATTTATTTATTTATGGGTTTTGTTGTTTTGTTTTGTTTTGGGGGGAGGTAGTTAGGTTTGTTTATTTACTTATTTCGATGGAGGTACTGAGGATTGAACCCAGGACCTCCTGCATGCTAAGCAGGCACTCTGCCACTGAGCTATACCCTCCCTGCTTCTCTTTTTTTCCCGAGCCCCTCCCTTCTCTACTGCTTCCTCCACTAAGCCTATGTAAGCATGCTTATTTACCTTCCATCTTAAGACTCTCCCTCTTTTACTCCTCACAGCCTAGCTTCTGGAATGAGTAGGCTAAGACCTCCATTGTCACTTCCTCATCTTCCATCTGTTCCTCACCCTCCTGCTGGCTGGCTTCCGATCTCATTGCTCTAAAACCGCTTTTGCTAGCTAAGGTCATCAGGGCCCTCCTAGTTACCAAACCCAAAGGTTCTCTCTCTCAGGCTTTATTTTACTTGACTTCTCTGGAGTATATATGCCAAGTCTTTTTTCCTTTTTCCTTCAAAGTCCTTCCTTGGTTTAAGAAATACTCACTCCTCAGTTTTCCTTCTGTTTCTGACCACCCTTCAACAAACATTGGTCTTCACCAGGATTCTGCCCTCCACGCTCTTCTGACTACACAGGCTTCCTGGGTGAGCTCATCTGCTCCCAAGTTTGCACAAATCTTAAGCTTTCTATGTATCATACTATAAACTTACATGCTCCCAGCCGAACTTAGCTCTCTCTCCTACATTCTGCCTTCAACCTGTTCAGTGAATGGCATCACCACTTACACAGTCTTCTAAGTCAGAAACCTAGGTTCCCCCTTGTTTTCCCTACTTTCCATTATCCAGTCAATCACTAAGAGGCACCTCTCGTTCCATCCCTACTGCCAATGACACAGCCAGTTTTAAGTCTCCCTCATCTCTCACCTGGCTTCACCCCTCCCCAGTCCACCCACATGCACACTTGTGCCAGTGAGCTAAAACAAGCATTTGATCTTGAGCCTTGTGATCACTACACTGCATGGCTTTCTTATACTCCATCCACCCAGAACTGCTTGTTGTCCCATGAACAGACTATGTGGTTTCACGTCCCTCAGCATTCTGCTCCCTCTGCCTAGAATGCCTTCTTCCCCCCAACCCCCGCTCCCCTCCCCTGGCAGACTCCTCCCTATTCTTAACCATCTATCTGAGGGGTCTCCTCTGTGAAGACTTCTCATCCTCACTCCATAAGCAGAGTTGCTAACTCCTTCCTAACACCATAAAACCTTGTGAATATTGCAATGATCACTTTTTCTTAAACTTATTTACATATATTTCTACCTCTCATTCTAGATCTTAAGTGCCCTGCAATCAGAAACTCTTACTTCCGTATCAGCGTCTGGCAGACTGCTTGCTAAAAATAAAAGGCTTGATAAATGCTGAATAAATGAATGAATATCATGGACCCATCCAATCTCCTCAACCAAAATTCTGGAAGCCACCTTCCATTCCTCCTTCTTCACCCGCAAATGCCAACTGGTCATCAAGGCCTGTTCATTCTACCCCCTAAAGGTCTCTCAGATTTATCCCCCCAGTTTAGGCTCCCTTACCCCTTGAACTATATGTGCCCCCTCCAAACCATTCTCCATACTACCGCTGGAATTCAAAAAAAAATTTTATTACAAAAATACATTCTTGTAAAAAAATTCAAACAATACAGAAATAAAAGCACAATACTCGACCCAGTACACAACCATATAGCCCCTGTCCCCTCCAATCCCATTCCCCAGAGGTTATCACTGTCAACAGTTTTGCATATATCCTTTCAGACCTTTTCCTTTGCATTTACAAATTATATATAAGCACATATAAATATTCGCACATGGTTTTGTCATTTACAAAAATGGGATCACACTTGTTACATATGATTCTTCGATTTCCTTTCATTCATTATACAGAAAATTTCGAAATCACAAGTCTGATTATATTATTCCACTCAAGCGCTTCATTTCTTATAATATAAAATTCATGCACATTAAGTATCAAACTCAAAGCTCTTGGTGATAAGCTTCCTGTCCATCTTCCAGTCACATCTCTAGCCATTCATTTCAAGATTAAAGGACTGGAACATAAACCACCTTAAATCCTTCTGGAACAAGGCAGGTACAAACAAACAAACAAACAAACAAACAAACAAACTAGGAACACACTCTGCTATGTCTAGACTTCAGCCTTTCCACTTTGTGTTACACTCTGCCTGGACTTTTCCATCTGGCAAGCTCCTACTAGATCTTCAACCATCAGCTTAAAAATTACCTCTA